AAAATAACGAAAATAGGAAAACTCAAAAAACAGCGAAAGAAGTAAAAATTTTCTTTATTTTTTTTTTCTATATTTATGTGATTTTCAGCGAAAGCTGATTCATCACTGTTGGAAAAATCCTTGAGAATAGTTCATTTTGCTTTCTTACCTAACTGAAAAATCCTAAAAATCCTAATCAACATTGCGTGCATTTACAAGTGCGTGCTTCGCAGGGAGAATACCCATCGTAGTGCGGACGTTGCTTACGTTGATGAGATTACGAAAAGTGCCACTATTCCTACCATATACACATCAGTTTTCCTACACAGATAAAAATCTGAATTTTAAATATGATGTAAACATTCATGCGTGTAAACTTGTATTTCATTTCACGCAAACGAGCAACTTGTAAGAAATGTTGTTTACAAAACTGGGCTCTTGTATACAATGTTTGCAACAATGCATGAAATGTCTCAGAACTTTACATGATTTATAAATTAAACTTGTATGATATGTGACGCTCCTTTTATGTGCATCATTGAACAGAAATTCACACTACTTTTTCAAACTGTGTACCATACATTGTGTAAATTTTCGACTGAACGATCCAGAATAATCCTACTTATTAAACTGCTCAGCTTGTCTACATTGACGTAGCTAATAAAGTGCCTAAGAGACCAGGCCACCTCCAGAATTGTTTGAAGTTTAATAAAAGTTAAATTGTCGTTATTAGAATTACCAACAAAAAAAACCAAAGGGGGCCTGGATCATTCGGGAAAGGGCCTGAATTTTAATTGTGATGTAAACATTCATTCATGTGAACTTGTATTCCATTTCACGCAAAGGAGCAACTTGTAAGCAATGTTGTTTACAAAGATGGGCTTATGTATACAATATTTGCAATTTTTCATTAAATGTATCAGAACTTTACACAATATATAATATAAACTTATTTGATATGCAACGCTCCATTTATGTGCATCATATTGCACAGAAATTTACACTACTTTTTCGGACTGTGTTTACACTTAAACTGGTTATTAAGGTACCTAGTTTGATTTGAAATACTCGCACGCAATCATACTCTTTAATCAGTTACCTAATGATATGTTTTAAGTCATTTGATATAAATCACATTTTCAATGCCCAGATAACAGCATGATTTTTTTTGTTCGTGGCACAAGTTGTAATAAGACGTTTTGTAAAAATCTAAAGCAATCATTTAACGGAAAGTCAGATTGAAAATGTACTAAATAAAGTTTCGGTAGACTCGGTTCCCAAAAGCTTACTCTATCAGATACCATCGCTTAAAGGTGATACACTCAAATTTATACCGCTTCTAGCACAGCATACTACCCACAAAAACGGACATCCCATCATGGAATACTGTGATTTCCACGAACGACAAATTGTATCGTCCGTGCCGTAATAGGCAGATCCAGGCTGCTCATCATTACAATCACCATTATTATCCTTACGAGAATACTGTGAGTCAGATACCAATATGGGCCCAGCAGTATAATTAAATTTGTTTCATTCCTTCATTTTTGTGCTTTCGTAGAACCCAAAAATAACAGAAAATTCATAACAACCAAACGCCTCCATCGTTCATCATCATTTTCATAAAACCGAGCTCGATAAGGCAAAACATTCTCTGCACTTTCTTTGCACGTATTCTATCTAGCGGAAACCCAATGTCTTCTGTTTCTTTTGTTTGTATTCCACATAATCTCAAATTTATTAACTGTTCAATAGCACTCGTTCTAAAGAATGTATTTTATATTTATCTATGTCCCGGCACACTGCTCACCAACACCCTAAACAATGAAAAACAAAAACAAAACTGTTGCCCTGCTACTACTACTTCTACCAATCACCAACCACCATCCGATCAACCGAAAAACCCTACAACAGTCTGCCTGGCTTTAGTCGCCTCCGAATGCACAGTAAGGGCACTTCAACTGCTGCAACTGCTACTACTACTGTTACTACTACTCCTACCACCATCAGCACCACTTTCAATTCTGTTAATGCCGCTGTCATCAACAACATGAACAACAACAACAACAACAACAACAGCTACCAAAACTACAATTACAACAACAACAGCGCCATCACCAATCCCAACGTTCCGGTTGCGTTCGTTGAGTTCAAGGATGTGGCCAGTGCTGCCGCCGCCATGTGCGCCCTGCAGGGCAAGTACCTCCTTTCGTCGGATCGCGGTGCCATGCGCATCGAGTTCGCCAAATCCAAGATGGCTGCCGACGTTCCATCGCACCACTTTTACCATCTGCACATGCAACAGCGAGAAGTATGTAGCACTTGTTTTTTGAATGACCTTCTTTTGTTTTCATTTTCGTTGTTGTGATTTTGCTTTGGCATGATTATTGAACCTTTAGACTGAATTTTAATATTGTTCTGATAGCATCCCGGAAAAAATAACCATACAATTACCATAAAATAAAATACAATCTATTGTCACCAATCAATCTTATCGTACGTATATTGTACAATAAAGTTTAACATGTTGGTATTACAATAGATATACAATACGTCCCAAATAGTAATAATTTTCAGCAATAGAACAACAATACAATTAATGGTAAGTGGCTCAATTTTGTTTGGGAAAACGTGTTTTTTCTATGGTTAAGATACATAACAACCCCTCTGTTCTATTGTAAATTTCCCCCTCTAACCATAGATTCTCTTGTGGATACCATAAATTCTATTGTTATTTTATCTTTGTGGACAATACGATTTATTGTTAATACAATCAACTCTATTTTATGGTTACAATTCATTTCATTGTACTTCTATGGTTCTTTTTTTACGGGATAGATGAAAACAATAATTTCTACTTTACTCAAATTAGCTGAAAATCAGGGAAACATCAAAAGATAAACCAACTATCATGAATTTGAATGTTGACCTGACATAGATCAAAGAACCCGCTGAGTTTTGAAATCAACATTTTAAGCTGAATATTGCATTAGGTCCTAAGTAACATTGACAGATTCTCTTCGTCGACTTTCTCTTTGTATCCCCACGGCCATGTAAAGACATTCCCAGGTATTTTCAGCAAACAGATCGATAAAAGAAGCTTTTATCTAGCATCAAATACGACAACCACGACAAGAAACGATTCTGTACCCAAGTTATTAACGAAAGAGAAAGTCGACGAAGAGAATCGATTAATGTTTTTAGGACCTAATGCAATACTCAGCTTGATTTCAATGGATTTGATAGTCTTTCGGTAATGGCGAATTATATGCTATATAATAGTTTCTTTCAACGAACTGTGTGTTTGAAATAGCTGGAAATGTCTTTACATGGCCGTGGAGATGTAAAGATAAAATCGATTCAGATGAGAGTCTGTCAATGTTACTTAGGACCTAATACAATGTTCGGCTTTATTTGTTTTTGTTCATCTGTATTGTTGTCAATATCAATATTCGGGTGGCGACCCCGGCGTAGTGGTTAACATCCATACCTCTCACGCCAATGCCACGAGTTCAAATCTCACCCCGGACAAGTCACGAATGACCCGAGAGTGTTAAAGTGACTATATAACACACACCTTGTTCCTCAATAGACCTTGATCCACTCGGTCACAAAACGACTAAAGGGTCTCAAACTTCAATAGTTTAAGTTCTCTGTAGATATTGTATTGGGGCCTATGCTTGTCACAAATTCTTATACACCCCCTCCCCCCCCCCCCCCCGCTAGAGCGTGACATAATATATGTATCAACCCTTGGTTGTATTTGAACCTTTCATCTGTTACGAAACACATTGAGCAATACAGTTTCTGAACCTAACCCATAAGGTCTCTATGGTTTATCCATGAAGCCTCCATCATTACACCACAGACAAACAGACGTAACTCTTTGAAAAACTTGTTCTTGAAAACATAGTATCTTAAAACATATAACCTCAGTAGCGACATCTATCTGGCTTCTCGCGGAAAACAAGCTTGATCGCTAACTCGTAAACAATATTGCATACAAGTTCTATAGAATATATAGAAACGTCAAAGTGATCCGATGCCAGCGCTGCGGCGAGTAGTTCGCGGAACTGATAATATTCAAATCAACCGTTAAATGCATGAACGAAGATACACAATGAAGAGTTACGTCTGTTTGTCTGTGATTACACCGTTTAAATAATGCATGGGTTACTGGTTTGATCGCAGCTGATATCATAATTCAATGATTTTAAATTTTGGAAGGATAATCAAGATTAGATTGATTTGGATCCATTTAAATGAAACCTGTCACGTAGGAAAATTATTACATCGCTGGAACTACTCGTTTGTTGCAATGCAGCATACAGAGAGTTTCAATTTCATAAGCAATTTTGCTACCGATTCTGAAAGTTGTGCTCTAGAAAACTATAGGGCACATCCGCCATCATAGCTGCCATTTTTTAACTGTTTAAGGAATCACCTAATGTCAAGGTTGTCAAGGTACCCCTGAAATACTTCGCAGCTGTAGTGACATCTTGACAAATCTAGCCAAACCATCACCATCATATTCAGGCTAAGGACAGGGTGCCGTGTGCTCCACGCCATCTCCATCCTTCCACCTAGTCGATCCATCTTCCCGGCGCGTGTCTCATCGTCTTGTTCCAGCCGGGTCGCTATCAAGATTTTTTCAACATTCCCAGCCCACCATAGTCGCCCGAGTTTTGCAATATGGACGATGGGTAGTTCGTCTCGTAAACTGGTCGAGGTTTCAAGCCACTTCCATTGTTCGCGGGTCAAAGGCGACGCCAGCCAAACTTTTCCGCGATCCACACCAGCGACTGTCCACTTTAAAAATCGTTAACAGAATCGCGAGCTAGTCTGAACGGGCTCGATTGCCTAATCGTGTCGCACTCTTCCAACCCAAAGGCTTATTTTAATTCTTTATTTCATCTCCCTCACTTCGCATCTTATGCATTCGTCGTTTCGAAGCCGATCTTCGATTGTCACTACACAGGCACGGATCATATTCGTGTATTCGGAGCTTTCCGAAGCTCAAGTTAAATCCAATCTCAGTGCGTATCTGTCAATAAGCTATTCGTGTACGTCGACGCTCAGTGCTGCCAAATGCAATTAGCTGACTTCACACCAAATGAAGGTTAATTGATTTTTCTTTAATTACTACCATGTCACATATACTACAGTTCGCACAGCAGCTAATGCAATTCGTGGTTTATTCGCCTCCTCCACGTTCCGGCTTCCATCTGCCTTTTACCATGGGTAGTACACAACAGCTTCCTTTCGAAAACATCAATGCACCTTAAATTTGGTCTTTCATCAGCAAATTCCAGAGGTCTCATTGAGGAAGTCGAAACGAAGCTTTTTTTTCGTATGAACGCTGCTATGAAAACAATAGTATCGACTTGGTTCCATAATGTGGCCCTAGGAAAGAGTTGGTTGAATGACGACTTCATCAAAAGGGATACCCTATTTTAAGCAGGGAATTATTTATATAATTCATCATTCAGCCTTTACAACAATAGACACCACTTATAGCAAGTGAGTGGAAGTAACCCTGCCTGGCAACACTCAGCCATTAGATGTACAGGAAATCGTTAGAATTTTATTTGCGATCCACAGTATTTCCTGCCCAGTCTTTATCTGCAAAACCAATCAGCTCTTCGTTGTATCCTTCCAAATACAGCTTCAGGTCACTGATACTGCAAAGATAGCGTAAGGTCCTTTTCGCCTCTGTCCAATCACTTGCAGTGGGATGACTAACTTTTCTGCAAAGAATGGAAGCTCAGATTGGAATGTCCGGTCGAGTGTTGACTGCGAGATACTGTAGATCTCCAACCAGACTTTGGAAGTTTTCCTTGGATGGCAGTTCTTCACTCTCCTCCTTCTGATGTAGAAATCCAGGCACTTTTGATGGTCGGACATCCTCCATTTTGAAACGAATTGCAAGTTTTTTGATGTTCGTCCGCTGATTCAATGTGTAGCCGTGTCTGGTTGCATACCAAGAAAATGCTTCACATCACCCAGGATTGTTAACGTGAAATTATTCTCAAGATGCGAACAAATGTTCTCATATTCCTTCTGACTTGACGCAGAAACGAGCATGTCTTTGACATAAATGAGGAAGAAACAGGATTCTCCCTTCTCGTAACGCATATAGAGGCAGGGGTGAGCGTCTGAGGACTTAAATCCGGTCTATTTGAAAAATGAATCAATCTTCCAGTTCCACATCCTGGTCGAGCTTGAGTCCGTAAAGAATTTTCTTAAAGCAACACACTTTTTCATAGTTGGTCTCAAAACCAGGAGGCTCTTTCATAAAAAATTGTCGCCGTAAAGGTAGACTGTCTTCACTTATTCACGAAAAAGGGGTTAAACGGTCAGATTTCGCATCCCAGCAACCGTTAAGAGAGTTTTTAGTGTCGCTTGCTTGGTCACTGAAGTGAATACCTCGTCACAATCACTTCCATACTTCTGTGTAAAACCTTGTGCGGGACTTGAAACGCACAACTTCACATCTTTCATTATCCATCCGACAGCGCGTTCGTCGGCAAGCAGACTCATCAGCACTCATGGTCTCGCAGTGACTTCATATCCTCCTCCATTGCAGCTTTCCATTCGTTTCAGTACGGGCTCTTGATTACATCCGCAACCAGAGGTTGAAACTGTTGACGTTTTTTACGACACTCGCTTCGTTGTCATGCGCGACAGTCTGTTTTTATTCGTACTCTCATGCTCTACCGTCGTCTCTCTCACACAACACAACCGGTAGAATAACATTCGAGCAAAAAGAAAATGATCAAATAACTATCATATGATATGAGTGATTTTGTTCTAATTCCTCAGTTTGGTGTAAATTAAACCATTTCTGATCAGAAATGTTATTCCTAGGACATCATTGCTTGATTTTTTCAGAATTCACACAAGCACAACATCAGCAGCTCTTATAATGAGAGAAACTAAAATACATACATTCGTGACGGTCTTCGGCGACAGTGTCGTATGACAGAGCCTGTCAAATGACATTTGAGTTTGGTACTGTACTATGATAGCTTGTTTTGCAAGTGTCGGAGGCAAAGGCAGTCGATTATCACAGAAAATGTGTCGACTACCGTGACCGCTTACAAGACTGTCCGCAACACTCCGTGGATCACTCTTCAGCGTAGCTACGGCAGCATTCACTCCATAACGCAAAGGTAGAAAACCTTTATTCTCGCGCACCAACTGATACGGTCTCCTTCAACTGCAACCACCTCCTCCTCCTGGACATTGTATTATTCGGCGATAATAGTGTCATCAACATCCGACATCAAGCTGCTACTTGTAGCATCGAAAAAAAAATCATCATCCATCTCGTTGACTTTGTCCTTGTTTGTCGGCACACTTTTCTCCTGGATCGTAACTAGGATCTTTCGCAAAGGGTATTCGATCAAGTTTTTGTCTTTTTTGGCACAGATGATGTTGACCAGGAACGAACCTCACGTCTCGGCTCAGCACCAGTTTGTGCGTCATCGGGTCAATCATTCGATAATCTTTACGATTTGCAGAACAGTCAACGAACAACATCTTCACGACCTTGGGCTTCATCTTTGTCCGTTTCTCCTTTGGAACGTACACAATCGCAGGCTTCCAAAATATGTACTCGTCGTTCGAAAAAAAAAAAACTAAAGAAAGGAGGGCGGGAGGGATGTTTGAATTACCCTAAATTTCGCATGACCTATTTAATGTATGCTCCCTAAACTTATTGATGCTCAAAATCAGTTAATTTTTACAAAAGTGACTAACCATCTTCAAGCAAATTAATCACATTCAAAATGTTTTATAACTGCATGACTAAAATCGACACTTCAATAGCACCCGATCAAGCCTCTAAAACGCTTTTATCGAGCATCCATTGTATTTAGATGTATACTAAAGTTAGTTTTTGTAAATAAAACCAGTGACGTCCTGATTCAATCAACTATTCCGAAGTATGTAGAAGAGTAGTTCATGGAATCCGGTCAATTTTTTCAGACCCTGTATAAACGAGCTTTAGAATGACACTGACCGTCAAATCTTACCTCTGTCTTTTAGGGGAGCGGGTATGGAGCCAAGAATGGAACACCATTTGGGGAAGAAGAGTGAACGAACCGATCTCAATACTTACTTGATGGCAACAACTTGACCCCATCAACAACCGCAACAGCAACCGTATCAACAGCAAAATCATCATCAGCAACAGCAAACAGCTGTCATCAACAACTCCTACATCAACGGAACTAGCGGAAACGGACTCGGATACGACATAGGTAACGGCATCGCGGCTGGGCGTTACAACACCAGCAACAGTTTCAACTATATCAATAACAACAACAACAACAACAACAACAACAATGGACTCTACGCGATAGCCGTTCCGCAGCCTAGGGCGTGAACTGATGTACCGTCTCAATGTAACCGAAGCTGTGAACAATTTCACACCGTTTGTTTCAACCATTCACCCTAGTAGAAAATGAAATCCAAAATCGTTAAGTTGATATGTGTAAATGTGATAAACCAGAGCCCATGTTTGGCCCCCCAATTGAACCGTAATGTGCCCTAGAACGATTTTTATACGAAAACTATGTTGACATTTCAATTTCTCTTTCGTTACCTGTTATCAGCTATTGCTTTTTCGTTGAACCGTACTAATATACCATTCGAGTAGGAAACGATGATGAATCTCCCTTTGGACAAGCGTGCACATGCACAATGGTGCAAAAAAACATGTGATTAGGGTTTCAAAACGTTACAGTTATTTTTACACGAACGAGTAAATACACAATGAAAGGGAAAACAAACAAACGGTAGTTTATAGGAAACGGTAAACAAGCAATAACAAACTAAAGTGTAAATGAAAATATCCATGCATATCAAAGATTTTTAAATCAACCAAGATGGGAACGATAGTTTGTAAAACTACACATAGTTGCATAAGAACACACTTTATGTAGATGGTAACTGTAGGGGCAATGTTCAGGGCATGCTAACCCAAGATCCGTTTCCGACAGACCACGATGGGTAGGAGTTTTGGTTTTTAGTTGGTTAACATTTTAATCAATAACAACAAAGCGGCATTATCATCAGATCAGCTATCATCACAATTAGTACGTAAAGTGTACTCTAAGCAAGCATCAGTAGCTTGCAAATAGCGAACATAAGAAATATGTTTTAGACAAAACTATTTCTCTTCATCAAAAGTAAACTTTATCCAAAAAAAAAACAAAAATGATTGAAACATAAATTTCAAATTATCATCAATTTAAGCTAGGGTTAAACAAGCATAGTTAAATAACAAAATCATTACAAATCTAAGATGCAGGCTCGGTGGATGGAGATAGACAGAACTGGAGGGGTCCATAGTGAGCAAAAAATGCAAAGTTACCGTCAATTAAATAAAATAGGACACCAAAGAGATGCATCAGTTCCCATCGGAAGAAACGAGCGGAAAGTCAATCAAATTAAAACATGAAATTTCGTGACACAGAAGCTATAAGTACCAAAGTAAACCTACTGGAAAACTGAACCAAACATAAAAATGTGGACCTCTGGCAGGATAATGAGTTGCCTATCTCCGTCCGCTGAATTTTGCTTCCAGGCAGGAAGAGAAACATCATCTGCAAAACGATATCTCGTAAGTGTAAAAATTGAACCGAAAAAAGCGGTCAAAACATAGCAATAAGTAGTGGAACTATTTTCGGTGTTTGATTTAGTGAGTGAATTAGCTTCTGACAAAAAAAAGAAAAACTATCCAAGCAAACACGTAACAAAGTGTGCGGTGCGTTTTCGCCACGAGTATTTCCGAATCACCACGGAAACGCTCGATGAGCATCAGGAAAGCAACAAGATAGGCAGAGAATAGGTTAGCGAAAAGGGAGTGAACAATTCCAGCAAGAAAAGCAAGAAAATGAAGGAAAGGTTAAGGCGTAAGAAGTGAATAATCATTCCGTCCAATACAGTGTGTAGTTAAATCGGATGAGTATGGATCTGTTTTCAAGACGACAATCTGTATCTTGATCCGGCCCCGCGAAGGTCAAGTGCTGCGGAGTGTCCACGGGATGTTTGATGCCTGGCGGTTTACGACCGGGCGGACCCCTGCGAGGCTGTCTCCAAGGCCTGCTTTTGCGTGGGAGCTAAATGAATACATATCAGCTTTTGGGTTAAATCTTTAAATCGTAAGGAAAGTGACATGGTTTAGAAGGTAAACTTTAGTGAGTAAGTAACTTTTATCGTCTAACCGCTCTAAAGACATCCCGCATGTCATGTTTTAACAGCTCTGGCAAACATAAAAGCATAAACTAAAATATTACAAATGGATTAAGAAACAAATACCGAAAAAGGAAGCTTACGTTGACGCTCGATAATTTCTCATTATTTACCTTGAACAAAAGGGTTATACACTGTCCTGGAATAGACGATAGGGTATGTAGCTTGAATGAATGTAATTGTAATAAAAATATGTGATAAATGATTTAGCGAAACAATGTTGGGCAGTGAAATGCCACCAGGAGAAAATTAAACTTGACTAACCTTGCAGCACATTTGCAAGGATTCATGTTTGAAAAAAAAAAGAATGATCACGAGTTTTATCAGCTAGTAAGTGAGGTCGATTTTATCAACATATGCAAAAATGGACATATTTTTTTCACTTGTTTATATGTACACGGCGCCGTAAGTGTAGTTGTAACATTGAGTAACCAAAAGATATCGTTTCATAAGACCTAGGAGCGTGAACCAAGCATAACAAGAATGGATTAATTTTAAGAATCACCCATACAGGAGAGTTTTTTCGAGCGATCTTTTTAAGAATTTAGTAAATACCGTATTACTAATCAAACTTCAAATGCCTTCTAGCTTTATTTTTAATACTTGTTGACTGTATGCCGACCTTCGTAAGGCTAAGTTGTATCTGTCCGGTTCTTGGGTTTGATTTATCAGTTCTGAAAAAATGAATGAGACGAGGAATGATTCACAAAATGCATGCAAGTTAGACTAATTAACGATATAAAAGATTATTCAATGGAAGAAAAAAAAGTGTTACGATAAATCAACAATTCAAACATATCAATTTCGTGCCCGATCATATTGAAGATAAATTTATTGATGAAATGTAAGCATATATTAAACAGTAGCTGACGAGAAATATAATATATTAACTATACATTTATTACTAAAATGAACAAAATGAAAGTATCGCTAAACAATTAAAAATACGCTGAAAATGTCAACATGTGAAGCAAAACAACTAATATTGATGTATCTGTTCAAAAACAATATGATAGGATCTACCAAAAACAAAAGGTTTTTCGAAAACAAAAACTCGTACTACTTTTTTTCGGCTGTCACTTCTTTTATTTTATCATCCCAGGATCGCTGGCTGAAGCCACATTAATCACTCGAAGCACGGTTTTTGGCTCTCACTCTCTTTCTCTCACCTACACCTATACTACATTAAACAACAAACGTCACATTGAAATTCAAAACAATGAGCTTCTCTAGATTGATACTGAAATTCGTGATTTTGACAATCAAAGCAACCATCTTTTACTCTCTCTCTAACCCAAACGACACGGTGCTGTCAACGGAACTGTTCGACACCGAGTGAAAACGTGATTTTTAACGGAATTTTACTAAGAAAAGATGGAGAGAGCGAGGGGAGCATTCGTTTAATCGATTTGCGCTTTGTGATCCGATCCTGGGTCGGTTTGTTGTTCTTTATCGTTTTTTCTTTATTTGTATTCTATCGAATTTGACGATGAAAAAAAAATTAACCAAAGACGAATATTGTTTTATTATTTAAATTATTTATTTATTCTAAAGCAAATGCTTATTTATTTTTATGCTTTACCTTTGATGAACCATTGTCTTTAACAGCAACGCATGATAAGTATAAATATATACAATTTTTTTTTCAAGTAAACAACTAAAATATATTACAATTAATATGCATAACAGTGAGTATATTTAGATATAGCATATGTAGTACAATGGGATGTAAAACTCTAGACAAAATCATAGAACGATGTTAATTGAACAAATTTAACTAATATCAAGCTATTTGGACAACTTTCAATAACCATATGAGTTGAGGTAATGAGAATAAAACATTCTGCGTTGAAATCAGTTCATATAAAATCCAGAATGCAGTGTAGACACCGGAAATCGAAATGAAGAAAACTTACATCAACTTGCCACACCCTTCTGAATACCCATTCCTATACCGACTCGTCGAATTCACGAGATCATTGATACTGAAAGCCTGCGCGGAAATAAGCTAACTACCAACAAATACAAGCAATTAAACTACGCTATCTCACTTGTTTTGTTTGTACACATAACAGATTCGATATAACTTACAAGAAAACATAAAGAAAAGTAGTGCAACATCGCAAACAAAAAACATTGAACAAAATACCTTAGTATGAGAAACTGTTATCGATTTATAAGAGAACAAAGAAAGAAAGAAATAAAGAAAAAAAAACATGAAAACAAAACAAAAGAAGACAATTCTACCAAAAACGCCTTCAGCGACATCTACAAACTCGTAGCTGAGACTTTTACCTAGTCAAAATATTATTTTTTATAAACTTAACAAAGAAAAGAAGAAAAAACAATAAGAATCCAACTACTACTACGACTATGGTCACCCGCATGGACGGGTTCGACCCTAAGCGGTTTTGAGCACAGTTTTCATCGCTTCTCAGCTTTCCGTTTTTGACTGGTTTCTATACGTCCTCTAGCGAAACTGAATTCCCCTTCACGCAAATGCATTCGACCCCAGAGCGCGAATCACGCTTTTTATCCTGGCAACACTTCTCCGTTTCCTGCACAAACACACACGCGCGCGCGCATTGTTCAGCCTCATAACGGCGTCACACCAACACACCAAAGCAAGCGTCGTCATGTTTCAGCGAATGCAATTAAAAAGAAAAAAAAACAACAACATACAAGCTACAGAGTTAACCGTTTTTGTTTTCTTGTGATTATCGAATATGCACACAGACATACACACATGCAAAAGTGAGCACACAAACATACACACACACACATTCATATAACACTCTCACGAACATATGATTAAAGAGAAGAGCACATAATTAGTAACGCGGCAATGGAATCATTTCAGTTGGAAGCAACTGCAGTTCCACCACGCCCCAAAACAAAGATATCTCGGTTTGTCATTTAATGGTGCACAATGTTCTACCTTCATTTTCCTCGAAATTTCACCCAGTTGTCACTGATTTACACTTGAATCTGGTTTACTCTCATTTCTGTTTGGTTTGTTTTTCGTTTATCCACTTTCAATTAACAAAGATACATTCTTGTTGAAAAATTGAAATGATTTCGATAATAATTTTAACTGTACGATATATAAACAAGAGGAAATTTTTGACAAATATTTTTATCTATTCTTAAAAAGTGATAAAATATATTAAAGAAAAAAAGAAGGAAAAGGAAATAATATTGAAACTTTTTATGGGAATCTTATATATAATTGTACTAGAACTAGAGCAAAAAGTGGTTAAACAGCCGACGAAGAAGCAAGTAATAAATTAAATTAATGTAAATCATAAAAGCGGACAAACAGAAAATAACGCGCCGAAGAGAATCTCAATCTGCAGCCGAATGCGCGCCTAGGGCGAAAGAGAATCTTTCAAGATGAATGTGATTAACGTTTTTCCTTTTAAGCTAGAATTCGTTCCAAAGATTTTTTTCCCTTTACGTTTAGAATTTTAAAATACACGTGTTTTTTTCCTTTGATTTTTTGAGATAAGTTTTATGACGTTCCTTCGTGCTGCCCAGCAACCAGCACAGGCTGAGTCGAATGGTTTCAGTGAACATTTACCTACGATCTATACTTTCGAATGCCTTCAAAATGGTATACTATTAAGACTAAACTTGACACACCTCGGTGTGATCTTTTCTGAACCTTTTTCCAACCTTGTTGCTCTCTAACGGGCAATTCTCGCTCGTCGCTGGCGATCTCTGGCAACACTGGAACGTCGCATCACTTAATTATTGTGCACTGTTATAATTTTAATAGAAGAAAACTCCTAATCGAAACTACTGTTCTGAATTGTTAGCTTTCAGTTTGTGGCTTAACTCTCACTGTCTAAACACGAAGAATTTTATATTTCGTCAAAAATAGTTTTCTGGAGCACTCTTTTCTACTTTCTGTTCGTATAACTTTTCAGCTTTATCTACATAAAATCAATCAATAATATCAAACGAAAGTTTCAGTTCCATTCGTCAGGTTATGTTTACATTAACTTTCCTTTACAAGTGTTTCTTTCCAAGAAGACATACAATTCAGAACAGGAATGGCCTTAAATACAATTTTTAAAGAAGAAATATAAGAATAATAAGTAATAACAAAAGTAAAAGGAAACGATATTTAAATTGATTTTTTAAAGTTTTTAACAAAAACGGCAAGAAAATTCAATTAAAATACAAGTACATAAAATATTACTTCGAAACATAAAATACCAAACAATACACAAAGAGAAATAACTCATCAAGAACAGCAACAACAAAAAACAAACCAGTCTACGAATATGGATCAACGCAAACAGTTTAGCAATTAACCATTAACAAAGGCAGATGCAAAACCAAAACAATGAATTACATACAGACATAATGTTTTTTGGAAAAACAAAAAACCACAGTTAAGCAGTCCCCCTTATCCCAGACCTAAATGTTTAATTTTTCGAAAACGTGGAAAAAGCAGACGAGAGAAACTGAGAAAATTTATGACAGCGAAATCCATTCCAGCTTCAGTAAAAAGCAGAATTGCAACACTGCAATGTGTGTGACATCCGTGATACAAAGGAAAACAGAAAAAAAAACTGATTGATTCAATATTACGAAAGGATGATCAAGATAACACATTCATGCATTCAAATCATTTTATGGAAACACCTCGGAATGTGGACTACCTGAATGTCATGACACAAAACAAAATCCAGGAGCGGATGGTATCCATTACTGAAAACATCAACATGTGTTTAAATATCAGTCCCTGGTACCGAATGAAAACGCAAGTTAATAACAAACCAAACAAAAAACCGGTTGCAAGACATGGCAAAATAAGGAAACAAATGATGATAAACTGTACTAACTATCAAATGCTAGATATAATTAACATTGTATAGGGTCCAAAGGTGGGGAAAAGTAATGAATTAAATTACAAGTAAATTAAATATGTAATAACATTAACCGTCACCCTTGCATGGCTTTTTTGAATATCCGAATTTCAACATCACATCTGCAAACTGATTTTCAGCTAATATCAACGACTATGTTTAACATTCGATTTCGAGTTCCAGATTCTACCAACACATTGAGATCGAAAAAAGTAGTGTGAAAAATTATACTCCAATACTCTTTCTTCATTTTGTAACTAATGAACTTCCCACCGTATTTGGCACGGACGTCTTCACTAGCCAGCCGAGCTAACTTACCTCATTAATAATTCTCAGGGCCAAGCTGAAATCAATTTTCGGTGCACACAAGAAAGAATTTAAAGCAAAAATTTACAGAAAGCAAACTAAGTAACGGTTTATTCAAATATTTAACTCCAAAATTTATTGGAATTTTACTTCGAGAATAAAAAAAAACGGACTCACTGTACTCGTTGCTGCTCCTGCTGCTGGTCGTGATACCGTCACTACAGTACCGTCGGAGGCTGCACCGCACCGGTTCTCTACCGGTCGACGTCTGCTGTGCTGAGCTTCACCGGGTCCCAACCAGCCTGGGGGAGCTTCTGCTACTACTGCTTCCGGTTCCGACTTCTGTCGGAGGTGGATGGCCGTATGTTGACGGACGACCTTTGGCAAACCTGGATAGCGTTCGTGTTCACACTTTCTTCAAGAGGAATTATTTTCGGTTTAGTTCACACTCGCGACACCTTGCAATTCCGGTCGGCTAGCTTCACGGATAGTCTATGTGCCGACTTCTAGCGTCTCGACCGGTTTGCGACCTCTCACTCCACTACTGGCCTCAACGTTGGCGATAAGGAGGACCAAGGCCACGTGGTGGCCTTACAATTTACGCCGAAATCACTTTCCGCGAACCGTATTAACTTTTCGTGAACCAAACCACTATTTACTAAAGCAAATCTTATTATCTTTAAACACGTGAATTTGAAAACGAAGTTTTGACTTTGCCAGCACAATTTCACTCAATTCATGCTTGCCAAACATTCACCGACTTGATCTTCTCGCTATTCCAGGGACAAGAGATCGTCTCTGTGGGCCGGACGATCATATATAGCTTTCCTGGTCCCATGCTTACAAAAGGGATCGTACGATCGATTGTACGATATATCACCAGGTCACATATACCGGCTCACGTTCAGGATGAATTGCGCCTTTTGTAATAGAATAGCCGCTGTAATAGCATTGGTCTTCGCTACCTAGACCAATTTCGTATAGATGCAAGCAGTGAAATCCCCCTACAATCCCTACGCTAGCTATGTTCGAATTTCGAACTCTACCTACGCTACTCTAGCTCCGGATTGGCCAACCGGTTTGAGAGGGGTTTCATTTGACGACACATCGGCTCTTTTTGCCATACTGCAAGTTTTGCGATTTATATTTTTTTCGGAAATTTGCGTGACAACCCAACTCAACACCGGCTGCCAGAAAATGAATATTTTTAAATTCAAATGGCAAAATTTGATTTAAATTCATTTGAATAATTATAATATATATAATTCAATCATTCTCTTGTGTTAAAATTTATATTTACTCACAATATTTCAGGTGTAATTTATTATTAATTTCAAACTATCACCAAGCATTAAACTTCAACTTGTAAACTTTGGAAAAGGTTACAATCTGAAGCTCCGGGTGATCAAAAAAGATTATTTTTTTTCAGCTTCTGCTTCATACCTCTATAGTATCCCCTAATAGATCCGACCAATTTGTGGCCGGATTAGCGGGGTAAATCCGACAATCTGACTGTCAAATCCATACATAAAAATGTTACCAACCTTACAATGTAAAAAAAAAAACTCCATAAGAGACCGTGATTAATTAATTAATTTATCTTTATTAGGGAGGCTTTCAGCCTGGGGCTGGTTCGCCTCCAAGTAAAGTCAGATTGACGAGAGCCGGATTAGCGAGGGATATCGTATTTAATGTCGGTATGTGGTCTGCAATCTAGTGCCAATCAAAGACGGACGTCGATTGCTATCCACTGTAATTGAATGGCCAAGTAGGTGGCTTCAACACTTGATGATATATCGCACCCATCAGCACATAGACCGGGTCCAACAGTCCTCGCAAGGATGACAAGACTACCGATTTTTTTCACCGCATAAAATCCCACTGACCTGTGCTACATTTGGCGCCCAACTAACGGTCGATTGAATTAAATAAAAAGTTTTGAATTTTTTTAATTTTTTGGTTTAACATTTTGAAAGTTAGATTTTATTTATTTATTTCCATTTCGTCAAGCCAGTGTAGACTACATACAATGATTATTACTATGTTTACTTACATAGGGGAATTTACGTATTCTCGTCAATCTAAGCAGCGTCCGCACTTCTATTAGCATTTTTTCAGCGTCACGCACATATATGACGTGTCTGTTT